TCCTTCATTTTTAAATATAATTTATAAAATTTTCAAAAAAAGAAAAATTTTAAAACAAGAGCAAAGACCGAGCCAAAGGCAAACGCAAATTTCTTAAATTTATTTAAAAACGAATGCTGTTAAATTTTGTGCACTTTCCTTTCTAAACCAGGCCATTTGGTTACATCGCACCCCGGGCCAAAATCTTCAGTCCGGCTCTGATTGTGTCAGAGACTAGAAGTATTTGAGTAAGACCAAGACCGAGTGCTTACATTTAAGTAAAACTGCAATAATAATATTATTTGGTCTACGTTCCGTGTAGAAATCAGAGTTATCAGAGATTACTTGCTGTAAATTGGCTGGATGTGCATAATTCTTTTACGTAATACTTACTTAAGTAGGGCACATGATGACATTATACATAACTATAAAGTACATTAATCAGTCAGATATGCAAGGCTTACACTTATGTATGGAAAAACAGATAAGACAGTTAATAGAAAACATGTACATTGCAATCAAAAATATATTTGAGAGACTAATGAATTAACAACTGACCTGACAGGGTTAGGACTTTTTTTCTTAGATTTTTCATCAGGTCTGGCATCGTTCAGTTGCTTCCAAATAGCAGTTTTGTTTACTTCTTCGGATATATTAATTGACGATAATGGAATTTTCATGTAATGACCGTTTGGCAGTGGTATCTTAATGTTACCTAGATTTTCCATTTGTATCGATTTTTTCTCGGTATCTGCCTAAAATAGGGATGCTGCTTATTACACTTGTTAGGTGTAATTTCTCCGAAACGTTTACTCGTTACTGTAAATATCCTAAAAATCCTCTAAATGCTGAGCCCCCAAATTTTATTTTTTTTTATAATAAAGATTTTCTTAAGGAGAGGCTACTTTGGACACATTTGTACATATATACGTGCATTTTGAGACATGCAGACAGTTGAGTCGCAAACTATATTAAATTTATTTATTGATCATGCTTCAATGTTTATGAAAACAATGTTCAAACACTCTTGCAGGAATTCATTTTTTATATTAGCTTAATTTGTAAATAAGTCGGGTGCCGTTTCAAAGGACAAACAATTTTATAAATTTTAAAGAAATAGTTTAAAATTGGTGGTACTAAAATCTCAAATATAAATGTTAATTACCAAATAAAAGCATTTGTAATTGTGACGCACGTTTCAAAAAAAATTTCTTCAATTTTAATTCTGTATACTGGTTGCGAAACGAAAGTTGAAATTTATCAAGAAAATTAAATCCTTATTCCACGTAGGTGTAAGAGTATTGAAATACTAAAGCGTGGAGCTTTTGTACCTCGAATTCGTTTCAGAAAACATTTTGAGTTAATAGCTGAATTTAGACCGTACATTAATGTTCGTTTTAGCCCCGGAAATGGGCATAGAACTAATATTTTCCTACCACAATAGTGCATTGTGAAACGAGTGAGATATAGTTGACAACGGTCCGCTCGGGTGCATAAGCAAAAGCAAGAAAAAGACGCTATTGAGAACTATACCGAACGGATTACACATCGTAGTTTTTATCATAACTATGCATAAATATGCCATGATGATGATGAATGTATAAAATTATTTACGTTTAAGGGCATCGCGATAATGTAACGCTTTTACGTAGGTTATTTCCGTATATGGCGTATGACGAGCGCGTAAAGTTAAAAGCTACTATTACATAAGCGTCTTTTCCAATCGGTTATACTACAATATCTACCTGCAAAAGTGTGATCGATAAAATGTGAATCAAATAAAAAAAAACAAGCATGAGATGTCAACAATTTATTAAAAAATAAACAAATAAACAACAAATGGTATTTAATACATGAATATTAAAGGTACTTTCAATGTCTACTAAAATTTATCACCAGCATACTTAATTATAACAAAACTACATAATTTATTTAAGAAAAGTAATAAATTGGCTACTTTATCAGTTTATTTCTACGGTTGTAGCGAATATTACAGCTATTATATTTTCGACTCGCGTAGATATACACGTTGTATAAATTTACATCTAGCCAATACTCTGCAGCACTAAAGACTATTTTTTTGTGTCTAATTCTCTAGCGTTTGGAATCCATTCAATTAAGTATTGGATAGATGAAGTTAATTGTAAGATCTCTTACCAAATAAAATAAATTAAGGCAAATTTGGTATACAAATAAATTATTTTAATCNACCTGGGTAATAAACCGAGCTAACCGACGTTTTCATTCTAGTAGGTAAGTTACAACGATTTATGGTCCGATTCTAATATTACAATTATAATATTTACCTGTCGTAAAAACATATAATCTGGTTGATACTTCGGTGGCATGAACATGATCAGGATTCTGTCGAAGAATTGTAGTCCTTTTAGTGACGAGACTCCCATATACAAAAATACTCCGAATAATACTGGCATAGGAATATGTTTTAGAATTGGTGTTAGGAACACTGACAGGCCAATTGTTAAAAATATTAATATGTGCGTTACTCTTTGTTCTCTCACTCCGAGGAACTGCGGCTTCTCCCCGGGAGCCGCACATTCAGATTCCAACTTTAACGAATTAACGTGATTGATTGACAGGACAGTTGCTGCAACGAACCACGGTAATCCCATCAGACTGCATATTTCAATGAGAATTGCCAAAACGAACAGGTCCAAGTGATATCCGCAACCCTTTTTCAGTTTGTTCTCTTTCCTGTTAATAATAACAGCCGAAATTTGTTGATCCATGAATATCAGGATGGTGCCAAGGAGAGCTGGCAAAAGTGCCAAGAGGGCAGTGTATATCGGGTTCCCATTGAACGGCGGTATCACCCAACCTCTTGTACTCAAAGTGGGTTTAAATTCCTTCGGTACTTCAAGTTTCGGGGTTGGGATGTTTACTTTGAAGTCCAAAAATGACATTGAAAAGATTGCTATTATTACGGCAAAATCACTGACAAACTGTCGTACCTACAATTTCAAATAAAACGCGAATGAGACACTGCACAACAAAAAAATCGGGGAAAGCTGGATTTTTGTATAAACCTCATTCTTTGGTGGTTCTAAATATAATTCCAAAAGTCTTCAACGTTAAAAATCACAAAAAAAAGGGTTACTTAAAAATATTTACCTTTGCAGGAAAAAATAAGGCGTTTTTAAAATCTTTCAGTACAACGGATAGTAAGAAGGTTCCAATATACAAAAGAATTGACATTAGGAACACATCTGGAACATATTCAGATGTAGAACAGCCCTCTCCCACCAACGTGCCGTTATAGCTCTGAAAGTACGACATAAATCAAATAAAGAATTACGATGCTTTCTCATGGACTTACAAGGCACGTTGTCCTATTAAAATGTGACCAGTCCATTTCAGGGTGTCCTTGTTGAGCAATTTCGTTTGGAATGCAATAACATTTAGATGGTATATTTGTAAATCCGCTAGTATTGATCGGGTATCTTTTACCAATTGAAAAGACATTTTCCACTGACTAGAATAAAAGCAAATACTTCATACATGGAAACAAAGTTGATAGTACTTAGTACAATAAAACTGGTCTGTCATGGTTCTTATCAAAAAATAAAGGATTAGGTAACAAGACCAAGACTAAGAGCCTTTTCACACTAGCTGCATTTTGTAGCGCTCTAGTTGTGTTACAGTAGTGTGACAGTTGCTAGTTCGTATGTACAAAGACCGATTTTTTGCGGCCGATTTAGTAATGAACTATTTCAAATTTAACAGTTATTAAAATGAAGTCGCAGAAGGAAGACGAAGAGGAGCGCTTCTGATAAATTAAAAAAAGAAAAATATAAAGAATCGGAAATATTGGGTCGATCCTTACAACAGCAATCGATTGATAAAAGGATTTCTATATATCTTTCCAAGATTTATATCGAAATATATATTTCTTCTTCCCATGCTTTACCTTATATAGTCTGTATTGCAGCTATTCCAAATGCAGTCTTTGAGATTATGAAATTTTCGACATCGACATTGTCCATTATCTGTCTTTCGCACTACTAAAAATACGCCAGTGTGGAACCGTTACCTTAACTAAATTTATTTCTTAGTAAAGTGCAACAACAAAAATCGTGCAACTGTGACGCTTCAGAAGCGCTAGAAAAAGTAATCCGTGTGAAAGGTCTCTTAGAGATAGTGAGACCATTTCTAAAAGACGTATGTAAAAGTACATGTTTGAATTTTGTCATGCACGGTCACTATAGTTGAAATGCGGTGATCTAATTGGTTCAATAGCACCCCCTTCTGCATTTATTTGACGGTTATCGTTAGAATCATGAGGTTAAAGTAGGAGAAGACAACACTTATGAAGTGATTCCTACGGTAGTCATATGATACTAAGAATATCCTTGAAATGGACCAGGGAATGCTATTTAACCACTCAGAGTGCCAAGTTGTCTGATAGAATTGACACATGCATTCTTCAGTACGTAGATACTTTCGTTAGCTTCAGTTTATGGTTTGATATTAATGTCTGAACTGCACACCTGAATTAAGTTCAGGTACTTAGGTATATGTTGTATCAGTTACTATATTGGAAAAGGGGAAATATTTTGAAGAAAACAAAAAAACAGTTGCCATAATGAACCCACGATCTAGAATTTTACGTCTTAAACAACTGTGCTGTTTATAACTAGCTCATCATCATCATAAGGTCGTCAGCCCTAAGACTGGTTCGACACGCACCTTTACTCTTTCCTATCCTGAGCTAATCTTCGCATTTTCCTAAAACTAGAACAACCCACATCCTTAAATATTTGTGAACAGTAATCTAATCTAGGTCTACCATTACTCCTTCTAACTCCTGCTTCTGACCTTCATGCCTAAGAAGGTGTCCTACCAACGTATCTCGCCTATTTTTTATTAACTTAGAGTCCTCTGTTCTCCCATTCTTTTTAATTCCTCTTCATTTCTAACCTTCTCTATCGACAGTATCCTCATCATTCCCTTGTAACACCTCATTTCGAACGCTTCTAACCTTTTCTTTTCAACCCCTCCCACCGTCTATGTTTCGCACCCGTACAGCGCCGCGCTCCAAACATACACTTTTAACAATCTTTTTCGAATTTCTGAATTCAGTTCGCGAGCATAGAAGTGACTTCTTTTTATTGAAGGCGACACCACCCTGAGCTATCCTATGCTTTATATCCCTACTACTCCTTCCGTTCTGACTTATCTGACTTAGATACTTAAAATCAGTCACTTCTTCTAATTTTCGTCTCCTATCTATAAATTTGATGTTTCTCTTCTTGTTCCTCCCTTGCTACTGGTTCATTATTCATGTTATTATTATTATGGAGTCATTACATAATCCTAAACGATCCATAATTTTGACCTGGGTAATAAACCGAGCTAACCGACGTTTTCATGCTAGTAGGTAAGTTACAACGATTTATGGTCCGATTCTAATATTACAATTATAATATTTACCTGTCGTAAAAACATATAATCTGGTTGATACTTCGGTGGCATGAACATGATCAGGATTCTGTCGAAGAATTGTAGTCCTTTTAGTGACGAGACTCCCATATACAAAAATACTCCGAATAATACTGGCATAGGAATATGTTTTAGAATTGGTGTTAGGAACACTGACAGGCCAATTGTTAAAAATATTAATATGTGCGTTACTCTTTGTTCTCTCACTCCGAGGAACTGCGGCTTCTCCCCGGGAGCCGCACATTCAGATTCCAACTTTAACGAATTAACGTGATTGATTGACAGGACAGTTGCTGCAACGAACCACGGTAATCCCATCAGACTGCATATTTCAATGAGAATTGCCAAAACGAACAGGTCCAAGTGATATCCGCAACCCTTTTTCAGTTTGTTCTCTTTCCTGTTAATAATAACAGCCGAAATTTGTTGATCCATGAATATCAGGATGGTGCCAAGGAGAGCTGGCAAAAGTGCCAAGAGGGCAGTGTATATTGGGTTCCCATTGAACGGCGGTATCACCCAACCTCTTGTACTCAAAGTGGGTTTAAATTCCTTCGGTACTTCAAGTTTCGGGGTTGGGATGTTTACTTTGAAGTCCAAAAATGACATTGAAAAGATTGCTATTATTACGGCAAAATCACTGACAAACTGTCGTACCTACAATTTCAAATAAAACGCGAATGAGACACTGCACAACAAAAAAATCGGGGAAAGCTGGATTTTTGTATAAACCTCATTCTTTGGTGGTTCTAAATATAATTCCAAAAGTCTTCAACGTTAAAAATCACAAAAAAAAGGGTTACTTAAAAATATTTACCTTTGCAGGAAAAAATAAGGCGTTTTTAAAATCTTTCAGTACAACGGATAGTAAGAAGGTTCCAATATACAAAAGAATTGACATTAGGAACACATCTGGAACATATTCAGATGTAGAACAGCCCTCTCCCACCAACGTGCCGTTATAGCTCTGAAAGTACGACATAAATCAAATAAAGAATTACGATGCTTTCTCATGGACTTACAAGGCACGTTGTCCTATTAAAATGTGACCAGTCCATTTCAGGGTGTCCTTGTTGAGCAATTTCGTTTGGAATGCAATAACATTTAGATGGTATATTTGTAAATCCGCTAGTATTGATCGGGTATCTTTTACCAATTGAAAAGACATTTTCCACTGACTAGAATAAAAGCAAATACTTCATACATGGAAACAAAGTTGATAGTACTTAGTACAATAAAACTGGTCTGTCATGGTTCTTATCAAAAAATAAAGGATTAGGTAACAAGACCAAGACTAAGAGCCTTTTCACACTAGCTGCATTTTGTAGCGCTCTAGTTGTGTTACAGTAGTGTGACAGTTGCTAGTTCGTATGTACAAAGACCGATTTTTTGCGGCCGATTTAGTAATGAACTATTTCAAATTTAACAGTTATTAAAATGAAGTCGCAGAAGGAAGACGAAGAGGAGCGCTTCTGATAAATTAAAAAAAGAAAAATATAAAGAATCGGAAATATTGGGTCGATCCTTACAACAGCAATCGATTGATAAAAGGATTTCTATATATCTTTCCAAGATTTATATCGAAATATATATTTCTTCTTCCCATGCTTTACCTTATATAGTCTGTATTGCAGCTATTCCAAATGCAGTCTTTGAGATTATGAAATTTTCGACATCGACATTGTCCATTATCTGTCTTTCGCACTACTAAAAATACGCCAGTGTGGAACCGTTACCTTAACTAAATTTATTTCTTAGTAAAGTGCAACAACAAAAATCGTGCAACTGTGACGCTTCAGAAGCGCTAGAAAAAGTAATCCGTGTGAAAGGTCTCTTAGAGATAGTGAGACCATTTCTAAAAGACGTATGTAAAAACAACTTTAAAATTCTTGCTAATTATTGAATTAGTTCTATTGAGGGCGTCTAAAGCCTTTTAAAATAAAATAATTTTATTTTGTAAGTAATAAAGATGCTTTTATGTTCTAAATTGTTACAATTACTAAATATTAATTATTATTTAGAATTGCTAAATAGGAACATGTAAATATATCCTAAATTGAAAAAATAGTTATGTGAAAATAATCGATAATGTGATTAATCAGAAAAATCGATTTTTTTACTTAATCGATTAGGAGCACGTAAAAATGAAACGAAAAAATTAATCAGTTACTTTTTAAAAGTTGGAAATAATCAATTTATCAAAAGTCTGTAAATATAACGAAACTGCAACTGCATTATTTGATTGCCTAAAACAATAAATAATCATCACAGTCTTTGCCGCGGTTTTATTTTACTCATACAACTGTGAACGTTTGAAGTTTCAGAAATAAAAAACTTCAACCACTTTATGATATTATGTTTCGTACCTTATAAATAAAAATAAAGGCTATCAGAGTTGCAAAGTTTTCTTCAGTAAACCTCGTAATATAGCACACGGATGCGCTGGCGTCAGTAGCCACTAGGATGAACAGAATAACTGAAATCCATGTTCCTATCCAGAAACGCAGCGACATATAGTCCCATCCGATTCGTAAACAAAAATCATAGACAATCGTTTCAAACACTAATACTGGCCCAGTGGATCCCAATATGGTCAAAGGTTGACCAGAAAAGAATCCATAGACGATGCCGCAAACGAAACCAGACACAAGCGATTCCATGGCAGCCATATTTTTGCCTGTGGCTTCAGAGAGTAATCCTCCGAATGTAATTATAGGAGACAGACAAGCAAAATACAAAAATATCCATGTGGCAACACATTGTAAAGATAAAGCGTCTTTAAAATCAGACAAATACCATGGCAATTTTCTTTTAATGTCGTTTTGCAGTCCGCCAAACAGTTTTCCGGTTCTCGATAAACCGTTCTCTTCTCTGTACCTCTCTTCTTCGTCTTCTTCATCGATTTCAGCTGGAGGTTTCTCGGGTGGAGGTTTCTTTCGAACATCTTGAGACGGAATGGCTGCTGGAGGTTCTATTCGAATCGCAGGATCCCATTCGGCAGGTGGAAGGACAGTAACCGCATCTAAAAATTCGTCTATGCCGGCTAGGAGGTGGTTCCTGTTTTTTGCTTTGTAAGCGACTTCGTGGAATACCTCGTCCGACATTAAGGTTGCCATAGCCCTTCCAACTTCGTGGTATCCTGAATTCATTGCTGGAGGATAGAGAAGGACGAAAATAAACCGTGTTGGAACGGGAACTTCTGTAAGATCGCCCACCACTGCGGACGTGTTTAGACGAAGAAATGCGGCGAGGGGTTTTTCTAAAAAGTCCACCTCGCCGACAAGAATGTTACTTGCTTCCGAACCTGGCGGTATTTTACGCATAAACTGAAGATTGTGATGGACAATATCCCCGTTCATTGAACCCAGGTCGCCAGTGCTGTGATTTCGGTGGATTGACGTAGCACTCGTGCTCTTTGTCAAACCCTCCGATTTATCGCCACCTACTACAAAAAAGAATTTCGTTTTATGCCAAACGCTGCATAAAATTGGAATAATTTTAAGCACACCAAACAAGCAAAAACTTTAATGGTTAATGGTAAAAGCAAGCCAATTATCAAATACTAACTGACTACATTTATGAATGATTTATACCGAACAAACCTTTTTATTTTAACTGCAATTAGATAGTAAAAGTGAAAATAAGTCAGAAATTATATTAGTTACTGATAATGGATGCATGTTATGATACCACTTGGAAATATACCTATGTATGATTAACTGACAAAATTAAAAAAAAAAACAAAAACTTGGATGTTTTACACACAGCATGCGAGCTCGCTACGTAATGTAAAGGATTGAAAAATTATGAATGGCTGTGATGAAATTTAATTTTTCTTCACAGCCAACCATGACAACAGCAAGTACACATATGTTTATCTGATTTAATTGTTTTACCCTGGCTGTGGACCGTAAGAAATTTTCCAAATTCGGGTGTTTTTCCGGTGTATCCGAACGAAAATGAATGTGAATGATCTTCAACTGCAATACAAACATACACCTGAGTCCATACGTACATACATATAAATCTGTTACTCGTAACATAGTTTTAAGGGAAAGTAAAAAAAATCGGTTTCAATACGAAGAGGAGTCACAAGAAGTTACAATCGTGGGTGCAAGTGTAAAAAGTGTGTGCTAGAGTTGGGAATAGATCATATAACGAAATAGTTGATAATACAGTCCTGGATCTGACCTTTTTGCTCTTGTTGATGCTGGTTGCTGATGGTACACCACGTTGAGAAATTCTTCATGTGAGTTACGTATTCCGCTGCGAAATAATACTAACTATAACCTATATGCACATATAATAATACGAAACATTAATGTTTAGTGGAATAAAAATTTTTTGCATTATTGCCATTCGCCATTTTGGGTCCAACCAAAAGAAATGTCAGCCCTCGGTAGAAAATAGGTCGGTACTTAATTGGGGATTTTTTACCTTTACAAATTACTTATTGAAGGCTTTATTTGTCCATAACAAGTTTTATATTTAACGCTGTTACTTTTTAACTCCTTTTGTAAACGAAATTTCTAGATTAACTCTTTCAAGCATTTGTTTTCGAAATTCGTTAAAATTGGATCGTGAAATTGCTCATGGATTTGTAAAGTAGCCAATAGTGTTAATGGTAATTTTATTCGAAATAGGCCCTAATTCGAAAATAGACTCGCAAGTCAATTTACACCGAAATTAACTGTAATTCGCATTGCGATCAATTACCGTAAATTGCCCTAGTACTTTTCTGCATAGCGGAATTCGCAACACGAAAGGTCGAGGTCATTCATTTGGAAGGAAATTGTATTAGGTAGGTACCTACCTGTGCAAAAGCCTGTCTACATCAACATCCAAAGAACTCAAGAGCAAATAAAAAAATTGAAAATTCTCAAAAGTTGCTTTATAAAAATTCTAGTGCGATCTCATCAACATAGCAAATGTAATTGATTGTAACGCACCTACTGTGAAAAAAATTTTCCTAGTAAAGAATGCAAAATAAAATAAAACACGATTGATTTTATAACATTTTCAAAGTTTTCGAAATGCTTATTCGACTTCTGTTTACATCTACATTACTTTTTTTTAGGTCAATTTATAAAATTAAATATAGATCGGGCGAAAACGGCACAAGTTTATGGTTTCTCGAATAAGTAAGGGTTTAGGTGAGAAGTAGCGTTTGAGAATAAGTGATACTTCATTAACTTTATACTGTCTTACCATTTTCGCAGAACGAAAGTAGGAAAAAAATTCCGATAATAATATTTACCAAATTTCTGCTGATTGAATCAGACCAATCGAAAAGTTGTGTCCCTCGTTTTGTAGAGAAAAATGTTTCCTTTTGAGAAAAACACGTTTAATAATTAGATTGGTACAAACCTAAGAAAACTGATATAAAGTTCCTAGTATGTGTATAAAAATTCGATATTTATCAATTTAAACAACTTTTTTATTGGTTTTCAAGGTCTTTCTTACGGTCCAATAGACACATATGGGGTTGAAATTTATGCCTCTAGACGTGAAATAAAAAATATGGCTTTCATAAAATTCTTATGCTTAGTACTACTTGTTATATAAATAATAGATTTGAGTATTTATTTGTTGAATTTTTAAGGATTTGGTCGAGTGCGGATATATACTTATTATGAATCTGATAGATAGACTTTTTCATGTCAAAAGTTTAAAAAAAATGAAGAAACATCAAATATTAAAAATGAGAGCACTTTCAGAAAAACATTCTGAGACGTTTTTCAAAAGACGTATATAATCGATTCCTGAAGCATGAAAACGAACATGTAGTTAAGAATCACCCTTGAGAAACCGTAAATAGTCATACGCAGGGTGTAGAAGTAAATTTAGTTTCTTTAAATAAAACTTCGCTATATAATGATGGAAAACAATCTATGTTAGGTTATTTGAGTTTTCATTAACAATTCTTAGCAGGAAGCAATGATTATCTGAAAAAACTGCGTACACAGAAAATAAGGATACAAAGGATAATTATGTATGAATGTTAGAGATATGAAAAATGAGCTCATGTACGCATTTTTCATTGTGCAGACTTAATTATCTTGAAACACTCTCCATCTATTTTTTGTAGTTTTTCCATTAGGCTAGATATTATTAATGTAGTACGCATTTCATGAGTGGGTTCGCGCACATGTTTTTCATTACAATTATGAATGAATTGAATCATTTATGAAATTCCATAAACTGAATGAAATGTTAATAGGTACTGCTACAGTTAACATAGTTATGCTTTAAGACGTATAGACAGCATTAAATAGTTAAAAGTTGTACAGAATGTTCTGATTCTGATGACACAATTGCTTGTATCTTTACAGTATCCAAACATAATATTTTATAAATTTTCATCAGATAAGAGAACTCCTGTAAGCCAAAATAGTTAGTCTGCAATATTAGTTAGTACCATCACCAGCACCTGGGTTAATTTGTTAGAAGCTGATAATCCACCACCACATTAATAATAATTGTTTTTGTGTCTGACCTGTGAGAGAAACATAAGAACCGTTTCGTTTATGACTGGAATCAGTTCTAACAACTGTTTCGCTTGGAGTAGCGTTTTTCCGTTTCTTTTTAGTGGATGAACGTCGTGTAAGAGGCAAGCAGCCACCTAAAAAGGATTCCTAATCTTGAGATAATCTTTTGCGAACTGTTTCGGTTTTCGCTTTAATGATTGCAAGTAGAAGTAGCCGAATACATTATTATATTGTGACAAGCATTTTAAGTAGAGTTGAAGCCAACTTCCTAGACAAAAATTTTTTCAGTCTTTCAGCGTCTCTGAGAGCGACTCTCACAGTCTTTCACAGAATCTCAGTTATTGCCTAGGTGCTTTTATGGATCTCTCACAGTCTCTGTATGAGAGACTTAAACGATAAAATTGTTAATTCAGAGATTCGAGTCTCTCGTTCAAAGATTCGAGTCTCTCGTTCAGAGATTCGAGTCTCTCGTTCAGAGATTCGAGTCTCTCGTTCAGAGATTCGAGTCTCTCGTTCAGAGATTCGAGTCTCTCGTTCAGAGACTCGATACGCAATGAGGATCTCTCTATGAGCTACTCGAGTCTCTCGTTCAGAGACTGGATACGAAATGAGGATCTCTCTATGAGCTACTCGAGTCTCTCGTTCAGAGACGCTAAACAGTTTTTTTGACAGTCTCTCCACAGTCTCTCTCAGCGACACCAGAGAGACTCGATGAGAGACGGAGATTCGAGTCTTGCTTTCAGAGACTCTGAAAGACTGAATATTTTTATCTCGGGCTTGCATGGACCATGAGTGAGCCACAGGCCACGTAGTTGTAGATTTCAATTTCCATATGGGTAACCCAAATCAATGTTTTTGAATCGTACAATATGAATGCAATAATGTCTGCTCCTCGCACATCTCGCGGCCCATGAGATTTTGAAATACCTCTACATGACCTATCATGCTGTTTGCATTTTAAGAACTTTAATTTGTTTATTGTTGAAATCTCAATAACAATACATTACCCAAAGGATCGAAAGGTTAAAGAAAAAATAATGAATACGAATTTTGTAGAACTTTTTACAAAGAATGAAGTGGCTTAGGCCGCAGCCCTGGTGTAAAGGAGAAAGGCCCTATACCTACAATTTGTACAAGCCCATTTTATCACCTTTATATATGTATTTATTACACCCTGATGACTTCGGGAATTACCTTAATAACGACTTCTCTGCGAGTCACATAAATTAGTTCAGAAATATTGACTTCAACGTTTCTTTGGTTTAGTCACGCAAAGTTATTGTAGTAGCAAAAATAACATTGTAACTAGGCTACAAAAAATTCTAATACCTGTGTGAAGAACATAAAGCAAACAGTTTAAAATTAGTTATATCTGAGTAGTTGATAAATTTAATTAACGTTTACCGATTTAATTTGTGATTAACAGCATATCTTATATTGTTCCTAAGTATAGGTAAAAGACTTTTCTTATTATAAAACAAACATTTATTTTCTTTATTTGTTTTAATTTTGTAATTTGAAATACTTACTTACTGAACAATTTTTGTGCTTTATTTCTGTATTTAATTGACACCGTTAAGAGTAATTTCCCCTAACGCGTAATAAGTTTTTTCATTCACTTCTTCTTCTTCCGACTTCCTTTCTCGAACCCTAATAACTGCTTTCACCTCATCGTCCGAGGTGTAATAATTACCCTTAAGTAGAGAAGAAAAATAAAAATCACAGGATGCACGATCAGGAAAGTAAGGAGGGTGTGGGATCAGTTCAAACTTCAGGTTTTGAGGAGCAGTTTAAGTTGCGCGCTAGGAGTTTGGAACAGCTTTGTCATATCTCTAATATAATTTGATGTCAGAAGTGTTTTAGAAACATCTCTCGTCCACACTCGCGCGTTTAAAACGATTCCACACCTCCCTTACTCTCCCGATTTTGCGCCTTGCGATTTTTATTTTTTCTTCTACTCAAGAGAGGCCTCAAATGTAATCGTTACACCTCGATAGATGAAGTAAAGATAGCTATCAAGGAGACTTTTCACGTTGGGAAAAATGCGTTACTCTTAACGGTGACTATGTGGAAAATAAATGTATTTCTTTGAAGTTTAAGAATTGTACTCTACCCTCGTTTTAGGTGCTTATCTTTTTAGAGTGAATAGGTAGGTCCTGTGTAAATAATGTACTTTTCACGGCGTTTATAAATCAGAAGAATTGTTTTTTAATACAGTATAAACATTTTACTTACTTCTTGAGGTAGAGTGGTTTTTGCCAATTTCTGTCAATGATCTGATAATGTGAAGCACATGTCCCTTGCACTGATGCTGATGCCTGATTCTTTTCAAAAGGATTTCCTTTACTTTATCTTTGATTTCTTCAGTAATAGTTCCTTTGCTTATAAAATTATCTGTGACTAGATCTGCTATTTCTTCTAGAGTTTTCGCTTCCATATCCAAAATTATGGAACCATTTAAAACTAGACTTCTCAATTCGAATAAGGAATGTAATGATAATGTGGCTACGTGAGGTTTTGACCACCGATTTCCTCCTTCTTCAACCACTTCTTCGAACTTTATCCATCTGGCGGTCTCCCTCCATTCCATCTCATCCCCATCGCCGATGAGCTCGAGCATTTCGGAAAATAAGGGATGTGTTTCACTGGAGCCATCATCAACGTCTTCACCAAGAATGAATTGTACTCTTTGTGCGGGCGGGGTAACTGGAATGTAAACAATTCTGATACCGACAAATTAAAACTACAATTTTTAATCACGATAATGTAACACCTATGTACGTGTATGATTTAATTACATTAAAGTTGATGACTTGTGAGTACACCGCTTGCAAAAGTGTGAACCTTGACATTGAAACTCTCAAAGTATACACTCTATATGAATTGCGTATTCGTACGTGCGTGTGTGTGTAGCTTCACACAACGCCCAACACCTAGTTACGAGCGACATATTATAACTCAATGCCAAGATTCGTATTTTCGCATACGGTATATGAAAATTTCTCGACTTTAATTTGATTTATTTAATAAAACCTTGTTGGCTAAGTATTTTCATCAAGCTAACTGATAAAACGTCTAATTGAAGTATAAAAATGATATGAAATTGATTTCCATTATCTCTTCGATCAACTTTGTGCCATTAATATACATATAAACTCCTTCAGGTAAAAAAACAATTTTTATTAGATAAAGCTCGAAAAATTTACCCTTTGATTGAGGGCTCTTTCAAGGAAATTGTCGAGTTAAAAAATAGAGTACGCAATTTAAAAAGGCAATCATAAAAACTTTAAAATTTAATTGTTTCTCCTGTAATAAGATGCTTGTGTACCTAATTTTTTGTCTGGACGATTTTCTTGAAAAAGTCTTCAATCAAAGAGCGAAATGTTCGAGGTTTTGTCTAATAATTAAATGTCGCTTCTTTATCTGAATTAGTTCATACATTAGAAGTACCATCTGGAATTGTTTCTACATTATGAGAGTTGATCCAAATGTTTCAACTTACTTTATCGATACATAAAGGTCACTAATAGTATGAACAACAAATGAAAAGTTTACAAAAGCTATAAAACTATTTTAGTGCAGGATTCCTAGCGAAATAATGAAGGAGAAACATTTTTGAAATTCCAGTTTTTTTTGGAGAATACCTACCTACCTTCTCCTGTATGCCAATTATTATTAATTAAACATTTCTATGAAGTAATTACCAAATGATTCAATTAGCTGTGGTATTACGATTGATTCTACTTAGTTTTCATTTATTTTTCATAAATTGACTAAATTAATTTTATGTGAAAATAATTTCAGTTATTCCTTGCAGTAAGCGACTGGTACCGAGTTCATAATAATTAACATTATTCTTTATTTGTAGATAAAAACTTAAACAGGTGAAAACATTGAATGAAATGAACATTTTTTGTTTGCAGTAAGACAGACTAATAAGAATGAGATGAGATTGTAAAAAAATAATTTGAAAAAGCAAAATCATAGACATATCATGCTTCAAACTACATATTCTTACAAATTTCACCATCTTCGGAAATGCTTAAACGACCACGTCTAGTACCAAGTAACTCTGTAAATAAATGTTTAAATAATCAAACGGCAAATGTAAAAAATCAGTTTTCTACTGTTTTCTAATATTCGTAAAATGTTGGCGCAGATTTCCACTAATCAGTTATGATACAGGTGGAACAATGACGAAGAACCTGTAATGACCTGAATTAGGTACATTAGTTTTATTTCCATTCGTTATGGATTTCTATTTGCAAAAAAGACACTAATAATAATACTGCATCTATCGTGGCTGATACATTTGACCAATTATTCAATACCATCCATTTTACTGCTGTGTTTTTTATGATTAATATTTTATGATATTTAATAAATATTTTTAAAACTGAAATTATCAAAAAACAATCTGTTACTACTGGAAGACCAAGATAGTGATTTAGTATAGTTCTAGTTACACAGGTCGAGTTTAACACTTAGTCAATGATATTATTTTTGTTTCGTTTAATTTCCTCCGACAATCTGGCATCCCTATGTATTTTCTAACAGTTCGTTTAAAATTTTTATATTTTTGGGATGAAAAACTGTGTTGGACGCTTGAATTATTTCATTCTTCTTTTTGTGCATCTTTACTTAGACTTACGAAAGGTAGTTTTGTGGATCAGGCAGTTACCTAATCTGAAGAATTCAGGTGGTCACCGAGTTTATTTAAGTCACCCCTAGGGAAATCTCTCGTGAAAAAGAAAGTTAAATTAATAAAAATGACGAAATTAAGTAGGTACTATGTTGAAACTATTAAAAATCGCCAAACATATACTTAGTTGTGTGAGGTTTGCGAACGTAGGATTTTGCAGACATTAAATTACTCAGTATTAATAATGGCATTATTTTAATTATTAAGACTACCTTTTTGACAGGATTCGCAAGGGTAATGTTCTGAAGATTTATGAAGGTTGCAATGATCTGACATTTGATCAGGGCATTCTACCCAACCATAACTTAACCTTCAATAGAAGCACACAAGAAGGCCAGGTATTGATTTGGAAAAAATTTACTCACACAAAATATTACTATTTGATTACTGTATTAAGAATAAGTAAATTAAAATTTAATATTTTCAATCCTAATAAATGATTTTCGTATCTCACTCACTTCCTATAATGGAATCAATAAAATTATTCCAAATTTTTGCCAAAACTGATTTTATATTGACATAAATCGATCCTGAGAGTTTGGTTAAAAAATATCGATGATGATTGATATAGATGCTGAAGCCACACTTCGATGATATAGAAAAATAACCTTTTCCAACTTTATACAAAATTGTATTCATCGATTTTTAATATGTTCTAGAACATCTAGTACATTACTATGACTTATCGATTGATCAATTGCCTATAACGTCTTACGCCTTGAATCCAAGTTATTTGTTACTTTTACTTTTTTATTTGTTTCAGGCCTTTTCAAGTTTGTGACCTATAAGTACTTGTTATGGAATAGTAAATACGATGGTTGTCCTTCTCCATCAACAACCAGCCCAAATGGGGAAGAACGAAGACCCGAGACTCTGGATAGATAAAGGTTTCGGAGAACCCTTCTAAGGAAAACGTCTAGCCGACGTCTCAAAGTAAGTCACTAATGAATATTGTTTCAAATGGACCTGAGTGGCAAGTTTATCTATTTTTATGTACTACTATTTTGATTTTCTTTACTGTGGGGCTAATTTGGTGGCTCCGCCCTTTAAGATAAATTACAAACTGTAATTTGGTGTATTATGGGCTCCTCTGTCGTTCCATTATCAATTTTTGTTGTTATATGGTAGGGACCGACGTATGCAGGTGCTGAGCCTGTGATGTCAAACTTTGATTCTAATTTGGATTTTATATTATTATGATTAGCTGCTCGTTCAGGTTTTTTACTCCGTATTATATATCTATGCAAATCTGTTATGCTTTTGGATGAGGTCATGCTCGAAGATGGAGAAAATTGGAAATTTCGATTACAATAAATGGTCTGATCCACACTTCCATTTGGGTGTTGTGTTCCACATTTATTTACACTACATTTTACATTTTTTTTTTATATATTTATTGTATGTATTTATGTATCTATACTTGCCACTCACTGAGTCTGTTTGATATTTTTTCAGCAAGTGTATATAGCAGTGTAGAAGTGTTAAGTGCTAGTGTTGGAGTATAATGTATCATACTTTCTGAAAGGAAAGTAAAAGTTTTTCTTAATCTTGAAATTATGTTGAAAAACTTCGATTAATACTTCAAATTTTCTTTTTATTTTAATTCATTTACAATCAGTCTAATTTTGTCGGTATTCTGTTCCTTTTTTAATGATGAACTTGATGATAGTGATTAATGCACAGAAATATTTAATTATTCAGAATTGTGAATTTTTAATAATTCAGTAGAAACATCATAAACCATTAAATTCTTCATACTTCAATTTCGTAAGTATTGAAAGAAGAAGTACTACTACCTTAATACTTTACAATCAATGTATATGTTTTACATTTTACTAATATAACTCCAATTCTGTTTCAGCATCAAAGCGGTAAGATCTTTACATTATTCACCCTAATATTTTTATACGATGATACTAACCGTCTCACCTTTTCTCTTTTTCAGGTTTTCGTAGCTCATCAGTTTTGTTTTTCCTTTATTTATCATTTAGTATCAATCAACACAACCAAACCTGATCACACAAATCGTTGCAGGCGCGATGGATGATGTTTTCTGATTTAAATTTATTCCTTACGCTATTTTTTAGTTGGTGTGTTTGTTGTTTGGTCAAAATGCTCATTCTCCATCTTCACTCAAATCATAAATATCATATCTCCTCTTAGCTTTGACGTGGTTCTGTTGTCCCAATTTTGCTTTCCTCACTTCGATTCAGGCTGGTGTTTTTACTTATATCTGGGGCATCAGTCTGCTCAGTTAAATATATAAAACTAGGGGGTAAATTCTTCGAAATATGTAAAATCAATATTTTCTACCAACGATTTTTACAATAATTACATATACATATTTAATTCCTGAGTTGGAATTCCAATTGAAATTTTACCACAATAAAAACTGAAATAATTATAATTCTAATCTGTTAATATTACTTTTTATTATAAAAATCTTATTATGTATTTTTGTAGCAAACATTATAGATTCAGTTCAGGCCTAATAGTGTATCTAATATAAATGGTGCTTTTTAAAAAAGTTTTTCATGAAAAACATAGGTATTTAACACAAGTACATCTTTACAATCTTGAAAGGGAAAGCTCAATGCATGAATTTTGTTTTATATCATATTATTAGAATGTTTCAGGAACAAACAGCAAACAGATATCCGAAGGTTTACCATCTTCAGGATTGTAATAGTGACCTGATCCCTTACTCAAAATACATAAGCCATGAGAGTTATTAACCCCAATCCTTAAAACTTGGAGGTTATGCACCTACATACATATATCGAGATGTTGGGTTTTCATTCCCCATTTCATCGGCTGAGGTTTCTCTTTTTCACCGAACACAATTGAGAGACACGAAGACATGAGCCAATTTATTAAAATAACCGACAGATTGGGCAGCCGAAGAAATGTACAATCAAATATTTTGAAGTATTAATTTTGAATCTTTTAATTATTATTTTTATCTCCTAATTGAGTTTGAATTAATTACTGTGACCACAATTGTTTTATGGCATTGCAGAAGTGGTGCACAGACTGAACCAGTGACAGGTTGAACGGCCGTACCGACGCATGAAAAGTGAGATTAAACATTTTACTGTTGCAGGTTTTTCAAATTGCTAATTTTTGTTTCAGAACCTAAACAAATAACAATGTTGTTGAGAATCTCAAGAACCGTTTAGGAACTTGAGGATCTTCCAGAATAAACTCAATCAATTAGCAATTATTTTGTGATTAGCTTTGAAAATTGATGACATCATTTTGACGAAGAATTTGAACCATGGCGAAGGTAAAATAAAATTATAGTTCCTTTATTTTATTGCGTTTGCTGTTGACAAATCCCTTTATTTTTTGCTAGTCCGCAAATTCTTCATTCGCAAACCCTACGCTACTTTTCGGAAAGCCCTTAAGGCTTCTAGTTTCCCGTTACCGCTCAACCCTAAAAACTTTTAGTATTTAAAATGACAGATTTAGGGTCGATCCATACTATATGTGAACAGGGACATTGCTTCTCCTGTAAAAATATTTTACCGGATCGGTATCGTATTGAAAGCGTACTGATTAGCATCCCCATGGTGGGAATGAAACTTTATTCTACATAAAACTTATAAAATTAGGATTTCAACAGCGGTCTGTGATTATGCGAACTGCCCTTTATATATGGGTATACACTTTCGATAGCAATTGAGAAAATTTGCTTTCACAAGTTGGAAAGCTTACAGATAAATGTTAACTCTTTTATTACAATTCTCTATCAGAGAGATTAAGTGGATGCAACTACTATATCGATCCAATAACTGATTTATTGCATATGATGATAATCCCAATTAATTACGGTTTTAGCACAATATCATAATGCAATTAACCTACTTACGAGGTCTATCTTCTTCAGACGAATTGCTGACTTCAGAGTTTCGATGGTGATGCTTGTGCCGTCTGTGTGAGTGTCTTCGGTCTAGAGGAACATGAACCCCAACATAGAACGTGTGTGCTCGGTGACCTGAAAAACAAATCAAAATAATATAAATATCGTTCGTTATATAATATCAACAATTTTCTTTATCACTTAATGGTGTTTGACATTAGTATTATTCCAAAGAAGTAATGAGAGGCAAAACGATAACACTTGTTATGGAAATTAAGTGGAAATACATAATAATATATATATGTGTTCGCAATAAGGAATGAGAAGTTGTGGATTCTATTGAAATTTGGGTTACTGATAGAATTACTAACTCTAAACAACAGTTTGAAAGAACTTCTTCAAGAAAAGCAATTATTTAGTGAATATTTCAAAATTTATTTATTATTGATGAAATTTTTCATTGTCTGCATTTTCTTATATAACAGAAAAGTTGACGTAATTTCTTACCGTAAATAGATATTTGAAAAATTCATTCTGTATCCAATAAATATTAGTGATTGTTGAAATATAATAACTGTAGATAAAAATTATAAATATTTAAAAATTCTTCTTTCGTTTACAATAAAAAAGTTGACGAGTTATAGAGGTTGTCGCAATTATTTATTCTACTACATTAGATTTAGCTTAAATTAGGTATCTTTATGTTATATTCATTTAGTTAAAGGTCTTGTACATCTCAAATTTATTCTATAACCATTGTACTTCTTACTTGTCAAATTACACTTCACTGTTTAACTATTTTGTTTTTTGAAAATAGTATATACAGGAGAGGAAGAAAAGCTTCACAAAAAAGGGACGCAGTACTAGTTCAGATAGGGCCACTTTATGCTAAAGACCTTCTGTTTTCGCTTGTACGCTAGAGAAAAGTATTTTAAAGTTAACATTAATTTAGTTTTCAACTTCAACATTGAGTTTCGAAAAGTTTTCATTCTTAAATTTTACGAAGCACTCACGTTAAATATTAAAGAGATGCTAATTTTTGGGATAATAAAAACATGCTAATAAGGGCCTTCACCAGAATAATCACTTTATAATCTACATACATATTTTATGATATTTTCACTACGAGATAATTAAATTGTTCGCTGTAATTCTAGGAAATTAAATACCGTGGATCTTTTCCGAGTAAAGATTTATGAATTACTTACAAACGTTCTGCTGCTCGTTTCTGTGTGAGGTCTAATTAAATTTTTATCAACTGTACAGTCCCTTTTTGCCTCCTTCAAATTATTTATCAGTGTCACGAAATGAAAATAATTGAATAGTAGGGGAATAACAAATTGCGAGATCCCCTTGGGAGAGAAAATAAAATTTTACGTCAACAAATGATTCCACTGTCTTTTTTCGTAGCTTTTACTAAATAGCATTCGAAATAATTAAGATCTATCAAATTTTGTGTGCCATCTGTCTCTTAAGGTGTTTAGATTTCATTTTTAGATAAATATATGGTTAAATCTTCTATTTTATTCGATTCACAATCTGACCTTTGTTCGATCTATGGACTTGTTCATGTTATTTTTCATGAAAGATTACGGCTGTTTCTACATTTTTAAAAATTTTTGTTATGGGGGTAGATAGGTATCCATAAGTGGTATATTTTAAAATTATTTTCATAATATACAGGGTGTCCGAAAAACCCCTTTAAGGATTTTGAAATATTTTGAATTTTATGAAAATGTAGTAACAGTTTTAAATTTTTCACTTCTTAACATATATTCCCGCTCTTAAAATCAAATTTAAATTAAAGCCTGCTCATTGATTATACAGGAGGTCCAAAAATTATAATTAAATAAATACAAATTTTAAACGGCAGTATCTTGTCTGGTTTAAATAGAGCACCCTGTATTTTATGTCAACAGTAGTTGTAGAATTAAATCTTCTATCGAATAGTATTATATATTCCTATATCTAACAGTTGTCGGTTTCATGAGAAACTCACATTTTCAGAACACAAAGCAATTTTAACAAAAGTATAATAAGTGAGTTATGACATTTTGAGAAATCAAAATTATATAAGAAACAATTGGTGTATGAAAAAAATAAATGAAAATACAACAAATAATACCTACTGCCATAGTGTTCAACATGACAACTGCCTGATTTTACACATAAACGTATTCCCTGTTCTAGTCTTCAGCAACATTGCCCAAAACTTGCGGATTTTAAATCCATGATTCATAAAGCTACTGTAATACGCTGCTTTAACAATTCCTTTTACATATCCCCATAAAATGTTTTAGCATTGACCCCTGTGATCGCTAGCCACAACTCCACCGAATTCATTTTTATGAATATATGTAAAAACAATTCTTTAAAACACATTTCCAACAACACTAGAGAATATGAAGCAGCGCATTACAGAAGCTTTGAACATCATAGATTCAAAATCCACAAATGTTGAATTCTTCATAGTAAAGTATTCTATAGTTAACAGGGTGGGAAAACTGTAAGGACATAAAATAAAGAATAGCACAAGGTCGAGTTAGTTAGTTATTACATTATTTGAAAGAATGAGGTTCCCTTGGAATTTTGCGATGCTTCTCTACATTTTATAATCTGGTATCTTTATTTTCAACAAGCTAAATTCTACCCCAACAATACCGTATTCTGGCTATATGTCGCGACCAATATACGTAAATTACAATTAAAGCCATCTACCTGTGGGTACATCCCTCAGTTAAATCAATAGCTTACCCTCGATATCCTGTTATATTGTCTGTTCAGTTTTTTGCTTCCGCAAATTGTAAACACGGATTGAAGGATCATACCAGGATTCTTTTGAATATCATCCCGTGCTTTTAATTTAAGTAACATTGGTTTATGCATCAAAGGAAATATGTTCGATATGAAAAAAGCTTTAACTTCTAAATCTTTAAAAATCGTTTATGACCGAATACTAGGAAACTGTTTGTGTATATCTTTTTTTTATTGTGTTTTCACAAAAATTCGCTTATAATTAATAAAAAAAATGTTTGAAATTGATTTAAAAAAGAGAACGAATAAAATGTTGCTGCATTTGTCTTAATTTCACAATCATAAAGTGCTTATCATTGAGAAGTAACATCACGCTCCCGAGGTACTGTTTTAGCCCTTTGTTTTTTTTATTTTCATGAATTAATAACTGGTTTTGCAGAATCAGTTTAATAAATAAAAAGGTAGTGACAAATTACCATTAGTGACATCTGATTTATTGTTATGTCTATGCTAAGGGTTACGTTAAATGAAAATTTTACTTTCGGACAGCCATCGAACAAGTTAATACGTAAAGTAAACGTCGCTGCTGTCTTCGATGCACTTATTTTGAAACACAGTTATCAATAAAATTAATAAATAAATAAGTAGACAAGTCCACATGTTTCAGTAATTTATTAATGTACACGACATATGTTTTAGGAATAGCCTATTATTAACGACGGTACTAATACTCTTGATAATAGACCATCTCTGAAACATATGTCGTGTATGTTAATAAATTTGTTAAAAATATGGATTTACTCATATTAGTTAATATCCCGATAGATCCATGATAGGCCATTAGTTAAATTAGGTACTAAAAGTACAGTACAGTAACTATAAGTATTGGTAATTTTTGTTCTTTAATAACGCATTGTATATAAGAAAACTTGAGTAATTATTAGAGAGCAATTTACAAAACTACTGTTTATTTTCTGCAGTTATTCATAAATTATTCAAAATCCTTACAGAGCTACTATGTTCATTTTCGTACTTTATAGATACTTACTGGATATTGTACGTGTAACATCATTTTTTTGTCAAAATTTAGGATTCGAAAGTAATGCTCCGGTGATATACAATAGTTATATATCTATATCATCTTCAGTTATGTTACGTTACATTAGTTTATATTCAATTTCGATTGATTGGACACAAAAAATACTATCTACTGGAATACTCTGGGATGGAGTTGAATGTCAAAGATAAATTACGTACGTATATAGATCATTGGATTGTTAATTATGAATGAACCTAATACGAATATTGAAAAGGTCAAGTTCAGGCTTGTGAATTACCTGGAGTAATAATACCCTACAATTACTTGCACCTTTTTTCACCATATAAGTATAATCATACTTTTGCCTTCGAAAACTCCTAATTAATTATTAATTTTAAAGCATGTATCTAATCATCTCAAAAATTTGTTACATATACATACAATGTAGAAATCTTCCCGAAGTGAGTTAGTTTTTTAATATGAAATATTCTCAATTTTTTACCCATTACACACTTCCTCAAAGTTTAGGTTTAGCTTAGTGGTCAAAGCATTGGCGCGTAAAGCCAAAGAGCCCGGGTTCGATTCCCGGTGGGTGTGTGACAACAGCAACAATTTTTCCTCATTAATTTGAGGAAGTGTGTAGTGGGTAAAAAATTGAGTATGTTACATATGTTACTTAGTAAATTAAACATATGTTAGCCTCGCATGTAGCGTAAAAATTTGTAGGCTGCATAAACAATTTTTCAAAATTAAAAGAATTGTATGATATAAACTTAGAAGAAGTTTTTTTAAATAACCATATTTTATTTCGGATCATGATTCAAGGTAGTAAATACAGTTTATTATTTTCTTTATTTCTTTAATGTTCACTATTACCTTCATAATCTGTTTCGTCGTACGTTTGTGCTGGTAATTGAGCTCCAGGATCTTTCGGTGCTTCATCCAGCGGATCCATTCCGTTAGAAAAACCTAAGAAATAAAATTAATTATTGTACATTACCACGCACTTATAATTTATTGTGAATCGAAACAATGAATAAATCTAAATTTTTCTTAAACAGATATAGGTTCCTACCAACGATAAAATAAAATTGTGTCTAATATTGATTTTTCTTTCGATTAGATATCTGTGATATCCTATATCAACGTATACACATGCGTGGATAATATATGTTTTAGTATGTTAAGATTTCTGGATTTTATAGTCTTGCGTCATTGGTTTTTTGCACTTCAGCTATCGTCAGTTAGACAATCTTGAAAAACACGAACCAGCGAATCTAATAAGTAATAAAGTTGATGGTCGCTTTTAAAAGGATTACAGTTTTTTCATCCAAACCGTCTAGTGATAAGATACAGCAAGGAGGGGTTAGAGATAGCCTTAAATAAAATAGAAACCGCAACCTAAGCAAAATAAGTAAAAATAAAGAAAAATATTGTTATGATTAGTATGTAATAAAAGGTAGTAAAAGTAGAATAAGGATTTATATAATAAAATAAAAAGTTGAAAAAGCTGTAGCCCGACTAGGGATAAATAATGTAAATTGAAAAATATGAAACAGAGTAGGTGCTGAATGCCACCATTGTTTTATTAACTAAGCCAAGTTTTTGATATGTTGGATACCACGGCATTTAAATTGAATAATAACTTTATTAAGGTTAAACTGTCAGAAGACTTCAAAAGAACTAAAAAAGACAGAAGTATCCTGTATGGAAAGGGTAGAGGTAGAAAAGGTGAGGAGGTATAGTTACTTAAGATATAGCTATAGTATGACAATAACAGGGATGAAAGTGTATATTATGAATTAAGTTGCTAAAGGGAGTAGGTACAATGTCGGGAAGGTTATGGGGTTTAGGTCAGAAGTTGTGTAAGGATGACTGGGGTAGAAGAATGATATTATTTAGGATACAGGGTGGAAATATGGGGATGGAAAGAAGAAAGGCACGTAGAAGTAAAAAAAATATATAAAATGGGGTTGAATTTAGAAAGAAATACACCGGACTATATAATAAGATGAGACAAAATGTGGAAAGATGTGGGAAGAAGCAATAACAAGAATAGCAAAATACGAGGAGGGATTGGGAAGACTGGAAGAAGGGGATATAAGGAAAGAAATTTGGAGGAGGAAGGTAATGGAAATAGGAATAAAGAGATTAAAAATAAATCAGAAGCAAATAAGGGAATGGTATAGGGAAGTGAAAAAAGTTGAAACATTGGTGGGAAATAGATGCAAGGTAATAATTAGAGGAGAGGATATAAGAAAAATAGAGAGATCTAGATATGTGGTGGTGGGTATGAAGGGAATTATATGGAGGGACTTGCAGGGAAAATGGGTGCTGAAGTATTTAGAAGAGAGTAGGAGAATAAGTATGGTAGCAAGATTTAGGACAAGGGCCGATTGTAGGGTTAGTGAATATTGGAAAAAAGAAGAAGAGAGAAGATGTAGGATGTGTAAAAGAGAAAACGAGAGCTTAAAACATGTATTAGGGGGATGTGAGAATATAAAGACATGGTGAGTTGGTGAATGAGAATGGAGGTGGATTGAGTCATCCGAATTCTAAAGGAGAGGGATCGCTAGGATTGTAAGGGTAGATTTAAGAGAGATATATTAATAGTANTTTACAAATTCGGGTCCAAATTGTAATTTTTATTATTTTTGCTTACGAAGCAACGGGCTAGTGGGACAATTTGTAAATATCGCGTTAATATTTAGATAAAGTTTCCTTTATCATTTTCTTCGAGAACATATATACAGGGCGTATCACAATTTCTTGACCAAGCCATAGCGCAAAAAGTTAAAATGATAGAGAATTGAATTCTGCATCCCATGGTGGTTTAGTTTCTGTAACTTGTGTTATTTCTTTATCCTTTTCACTTCCTACGTTATGGCTTGGCCAAAAAATTGTGAGACATCCTGTTTATATATACATATATAAATTATCTAGCTATATACAATATAAATAAATATACAACACATATTAGATTCACGTAACGTCCGCACAGAGCATGTTTAAAAGAGAACTGGTCGTCAAAATTCGACCAACTTATCTTCAAATCAAATAATGTAGTAGTAGAATTATAAGATAATATTTTATTTTGCTAATAAATCTTAGGAATGATCTGATTTTTCCATGTTCCTGATAATTTATTAATGTTTTTTTTCTCAATTGGTACAATTTAATGGTAGATTTAAGAGAGATATATTAATAGTAAAAAAATTTCGCTCATGTATAGTCTTTGGTTTGTATGCAAGATATAAGGGTGTAAAAATATTACATTATATTGAAGGGGTAGCAAATTTACTTTATATTGTAGTTATAGGATAGAAATAGGAATATTAAATATTATAGGATAGTCATCAGCACGTCATATGCTCTCTCAATAAGTTATAGACCGAGCCAAGTATGATCCATATAATCGATCACTGCAGTATGTCCCCATTTACTGATATTTATTTCAAAATGTGATACAAGGGTCTAAGCAAGGAGTCTTCTTATCCAATTGACTAATAATTTGAAATACTTCAGTTAAAAGCAGCAAATATCAATATTTTCTGACGTATATAATTCTCCATAGTTGAAATTAATATCCGTGATAATTATAATCAATTTAATTAAAAATATTTTCGGTAAGTAAGACCTCATCGTCATACAGAGTTCATTCGTTTGACTTTCAATAGTCAAATTTCACTGCAATTTCTGAAGGCACTTTCGATGTCGCCGATTCCTGGGCTATAAGGTACTGTGACGTAAACCTGTCGTGCTAGAAGTTATTATTCAATTGCTTTCATTAAAGTTGTAGGTACTTTTAGACAATGCGGTTCCTGTTCCCTTAATAGTAATCATGCTTGTAGAGTAAATAACGCGGTTTAATTTGATAATTAACAGTATCCTTTATTTGAGCGTTTCTTTGTAGTAACTTGATCATTATTAGCCTTAAAATACGCCGTAAACTTTTTCACTGTATATACTGTTAAATAAAGTACAAGCCAAACTATAAATGTTAACCTGATATTAATTTTCTTTAAATAGTCCATTGATTTCATTGATACTTATAGTGACATCTATTCTAGTTAGATAAAAATTGAACGAAAAACTTTGATATTCTGAACTGTTTTCAATTTTTTCACTGCTAAAAAAGCAAGTGTGCCAAGTTTAAAATTCCATTTAAATTAGTTAAGGATAACATTTTTCGAATTTCTAACTTATCTAACCGTCTGCGAGTATGGAAGTGAATTCTTTTTATTGAAGGCTATTCGACCCTGCGCTAACCTCTGCTTTATATCCCTACTACTCCTTTCGTCCCTACTTACCTGACTTCTTAGATAGGTACCTAAAATCGTCCACTTCTTCTATTTTTTCCTTTCCTATCTTTACGAGGGTGGATTGATAAGTTTCCGGCCTAACCAAGAGATGACGCCACTAGGCCTACCTTGAGGTGACATTCTATAGTACCATCCTTGGATAGCTTGTAGCTATAGTTTCAGCCCGATCTCCTTGCTAGTGTAGGTTTGACAGCNTTCCCATTATGGAATTATTGTGCAGGTAAGTGCTGAAGATACGTTAGTTTTTGTGTGCTATACGAAATTTAGATGGTTTAAAGTTTTAACGAGGTAGATAGATACAGAATGTACATTGTATGCCTAGTGTGGGAATGCACTGTGCACTGAGATAAAAAACTTTCATAGTTTCATTCAAACCTGGTAAACAAAAGGGTAGTTTTGTATCTCTCCGACCTAAAAATATAAACAAAAGTGTTTCGCAATGCTTCAGAGCTATTGTGGACTGTTTTTTAGGTTCTCTTGTTTGCAGGGAGTGTCTACAATACATCATAAGTGACGCCTCAGAAAAAAAATACTTCATGGATTTCACCATCATAAGGTCGTCAGTCCTAAGACTGAATGGACACGCATCTCCACTCTTTCGTATCTTGAGCTAATCTTCGCATTTCCCTAAAACTAGAACATCCCAACTATTTGTGAACAGTAAACTAATCTAGGTCTCTCACAACTTCTGTTTCTGCCTCTAATATATCTCTAGACTAGACCTTCATGCCTGAGGTGTCCTACTAACCTATCTCGCCTATTTCTTATTGACTTCTATAGAGTCCTCTGTTCTCCTATTCTTTCTAATACCTATTCATTTTTAAGCTTCTCTATCCACGGTATCCTCATCATTCGTCTGTAACACAACATTTCGAAAGCTTCTAACCTTTTCTTTTTCGCCGCGCCCACTGTCCATATTTCGCACCCGTACAGCGCCGCGCTCCAAACATGCACCTTAAACAACCCTTTTCGAATTTCTAAATTAACCGTTCGCGAGCATACAAGAGACTTTTTTTTATTAAAGGCGCTATCCTCTGCTATATCCCACCTACTCCTTCCGTCCTGACTTATCTGACCTCTTAGATACCTAAAATCAAAGCCACTTGTTCTAATTTTTCGTCTCCTATCTTTATATTCGCCCTTTCTCTACTTTTTCTTCCCTAGCATATCAGTATCTTTGTTTTACTTCTATTTATTTTCATACAGTACTGTTTTGTCAATACCGCTTCCATTTTATTTAAAGCTATCTCTAACTTCTCCTTGCTAGATGCTAATACTGCTATATCATCTGCAAATCTAAGCAAACTAATCTTTTGCCCCTGTGTATCTATCCGTACAGTTGTACTGTCTTTAATGATGTTGATCGCGTTATCAATGTATAAATTAAAAAGTAGCGGTGACAGTATGCATCCCTGTCTGACTCCCTTCCTAATATTAACTTCTACACGTTGCAGCCCCAGCTCTATAACTGCCTGTTGCTCTTTAAACAAACTAAGTATCATTCTTCTGTCATTGTAACTCATCCCTACATTTTTAAGAATATTTAACACCTTGTCTCATTTAACATTGTAAAAAGCCTTTTCTAAATCTACAAATCTTGTGGACGCACTCTTTCTTTTTTTTACCGTTTTCGCTATTGTTACCCGT